AATGTTACTCTTCCACACCCACACGAAAAACAGCGTATTCATGTAAAAAAAAAATTCTCAGAAAATTAACGTGTGCCTTGATTTTCCCCTTTTACTGCAAACCAATATGTTTTGCATATTGGTTTTGCATATCTTCCCTGCAGCCCTGCCGAGCCTGAGCTTCCCTGCACCCCTGCCGAGCCTGAGCTTCCCTGCACGCCTGCCGAGCCTGAGCTTCCCTGCACGCCTGCCGAGCCTGAGCTTCCCTGCACGCCTGCCGAGCCTGAGCTTCCCTGCACGCCTGCCGAGCCTGAGCTTCCCTGCACGCCTGCCGAGCCTGAGCTTCCCTGCACGCCTGCCGAGCCTGAGCTTCCCTGCACGCCTGCCGAGCCTGGGCTTCCCTGCACGCCTGCCGAGCCAGAGTTTCTCGTCACGCCTGCCGGGCCGGAGCTTCGCGTCACGCCGGCCGAGCCAGAGCCTTCTCCGCTGGTCCCGTCCAGCCCTTCAGAGCCTTCTCCGCTGGTCCCGTCCAGCCCTTCAGAGCCTTCTCCGCTGGTCCCGTCCAGCCCTTCAGAGCCTTCTCCGCTGGTCCCGTCCAGCCCTTCAGAGCCTTCTCCGCTGGTCCCGTCCAGCCCTTCAGAGCCTTCTCCGCTAGTCCCGTCCAGCCCTTCAGAGCCTTCTCCGCTGGTCCCGTCCAGCCCTTCTGAGCCTTCACCGCTGGTTCCATCCAGCATAGCCGGGCCTTCACCGCTAGCCCAGCCAGAGACTTTCCACGTCCCGTTTGTCCACGTCCCAGAGCCTGTCCCAGAGCCTGTGATTCCCCCCAAGAAAGTTTTGGGGGGGGATATAGGCCACCCGAAGGTGCGTCTCCGCCATGGCCGCCCGAAGGGGATTCTCCGCCATGGCCGCCCGAGGGGTGGTCTCCTACTCCGCCATGGCCCCCTGACCAGCCTGCTCCGCCCTGGAGGCTTCCTGCTCAGGGTAGGCCACGCCCTCGTCAGCCTCCAGGGCGCTCGCCCCCCCCACCCCTATTGAAGTTATACGGCGCGAGGACGCGCCTTTTTGGAGGGGGCGTTATGTTACATGTGTGTCCTGTGTTTCCCCCTGCATTGTGTTTTGGTTCAGTCCTGTATCTCAGTTTTCCCGCTCCTCGTTTGTGTTCAGTTCATTCACCTGTTTCTAGTTAATTTGCCCCAGCTGTGTCTTGTTCCCATGATCCGTTCACTGTGTATGTAAACCCTGTGTTCTCCTTCACTCCTGGTCGGTTCTCGTTTATGTAACGTTTGTATTTGGTGTGGTAAATGTTTCCTGGATTCCTGTGTTAAGTTTTATTGAGTAAAGTATATTTGAATTGGACCTGTTGACTGCTGCTTCTCCTTCAACCTGCACCACACCCGTAACAATATTCTATTACTGTATACACAGAGAAACTTTTTATGACAGTTTTATCCTGGAAACCTTTATGACAGTTTTATCCTGCATTGAAGCTCATAATCTGTCCACCTTCTTGTGAACAATATTTATGTCTATTTTAAGTTTAAATTACACTCACCGGCCACTTTATTAGGTACACCTGTCCAACTGCTCGTTAACACTTAATTTCTAAGCAGCCAATCACATGGCGGCAACTCAGTGCATTTAGGCATGTAGACATGGTCAAGACAATCTCCTGCAGTTCAAACCGAGCATCAGTATGGGGAAGAAAGTTGATTTGAGTGACTTTGAACGTGGCATGATTGTTGGTGCCAGAAGGGCTGGTCTGAGTATTTCAGAAACTGCTAATCTACTGGGATTTTCACGCACAACCATCTCTAGGGTTTACAGAGAATGGTCCGAAAAAGAAAAAACATCCAGTGAGCGGCAGTTCTGTGGGCGGAAATGCCTTGTTGATGCCAGAGGTCAGAGGAGAATGGCCAGACTGGTTCGAGCTGATAGAAGGGCAACAGTGACTGAAATAACCACTCGTTACAACCGAGGTATGCAGCAAAGCATTTGTGAAGCCACAACACGCACAACCTTGAGGCGGGTGGGCTACAACAGCAGAAGACCCCACCGGGTACCACTCATCTCCACTACAAATAGGAAAAAGAGGCTACAATTTGCAAGAGCTCACCAAAATTGAACAGTTGAAGACTGGAAAAATGTTGCCTGGTCTGATGAGTCTCGATTTCTGTTGAGACATTCAGATGTTAGAGTCAGAATTTGGCGTAAACAGAATGAGAACATGGAACCATCATGCCTTGTTACCACTGTGCAGGCTGGTGGTGGTGGTGGTGTAATGGTGTGGGGGATGTTTTCCTGGCACACTTTAGGCCCCTTAGTGCCAATTGGGCATCGTTTAAATGCCACGGCCTACCTGAGCATTGTTTCTGACCATGTCCATCCCTTTATGGCCACCATGTACCCATCCTCTGATGGCTACTTCCACCATGTCACAAAGCTCTAATCATTTCAAATTGGTTTCTTGAACATGACAATGAGTTCACTGTACTAAAATGGCCTCCACAGTCACCAGATCTCAACCCAATAGAGCATCTTTGGGATGTGGTGGAACGGGAGATTCGCATCATGGATGTGCAGCCGACAAATCTGCGGCAACTGTGTGATGCCATCATGTCAATATGGACCAAACTCCCTGAGGAATGCTTCCAGCACCTTGTTGAATCTATGCCACGAAGAATTGAGGCAGTTCTGAAGGCAAAAGGGGGTCCAACCCGTTACTAGCATGGGGTACCTAATAAAGTGGCCGGTGAGTGTATATTGATAAGCTTAAAAAATAAATACACACACACACACACACATACATATATACATATATACATATATATATATATATATATATATATATATAGCAAGCCTGTCATTATTCTGAAATAAACCTTACAGCGTGATCAGTCTTGTATAATGCCGAAAGCTCAGGGGTTTATTTTGCAGTTATGCCCAGCTGACTGTACATTATTCTGCTCATTACATGACCAGTTTATCAAATAAGTAAATAAATGGAAATGAAATATTGATTTGGTTTAAAATTATTTATATGAAAAGATTGCTACAAGCGACATACAACTTTCACAACATGAAGGATTGGTTGCCATTGTTGTTTACAATATAGTGAAATATAGCAGCCATTATACAAAAAAAAAAAATTGCCTGTAGAATGCAGAGACTAACCAATTAGAATTGTGTATTCCAGACAATAATACAATTATAATCACCCTGTATTAAGAATTCATTCGCTGATCTTTTATTGGGAAATCTGAGAGTGTGCACACAAACCGTTCAGGCTTAACCCAGACTCGGGAATGCATTACTGGAGAACTCCACAGATTTCTCTTGGTTCTAACATACTTTTATCAACTCCTCTAGCAGATTTTTAGTGTGCTCTATCCAGGGCTCTGTCCTATATTGCCTGTTTATTTATTTAGAGTCAGCATGGAAATTGCATAAATGTGCGAATTACATTTTTCAAATGACGCGTTTAGGACATCAGTGGCAGCACTGGCACAGATGGTGATTTAATACATCAACAATTGGACCTGGTTTTTAAATTCTGATATAACATACTTAAAGTATTTAATGTAATCAAGCAAATGTGCAACTGTGCTAGACATCCATTGATCACCATGCATTTTTGTTGTAAAGAGGCAGTTTTAACCTTTTATAGATTTATTTAACACTGTTCCATTTAGGGCATTTATTGGCTCCATTCCTAGCTGAATTAAAATCTAATAATATGTGATATGTAAATGTGAGGAAAAAAGTCTTATTCATTAAAAGGCTCAGCAGGGGCGAACACATTGATAGTGACAGACGTGAAGCACGGCATGCAGGATTATAATTTCTAACATAAAGTGTTTAATTGAGGTAATAGAAGGGTCCAGTATATGGCTGATCTGAAATACAATGCAGATGCCCTCAGATCCTAGCCTGGTTCCGCCCTCCTACGTACTTCCGCTCAATTTTCATTTTCCTTCAGTACTACGTCTGGGATTATGGTGTATTCTTTGATCAATCAGCGAAAAGACAGTGGCGGCTGGTGATGGAAAAAGTAGGGGGGGCTGAGGTGCAATGTGGTTTTAAATTTTTTATTTTAACAATTAAACAATTGCTGCCGTTTATTTATTACATTAACACCAAAGTAACGGCTCAAAAACAAGTAGCATCTAATGTAATTATTAAAGTATGAATTTAGAACGTCCTTGTAGATTTCAAATATTGTTCTTTCAAAGACGTGCCAATTTGAGATTCATTTGGAAACCAAGTCATACAAGGTGAACTAATTGCTATAATTTGCATGAATTACAGTAAGTGCACAGAGTCAATATTCAATAAACACAAAGAGTTAAATAATCGCTGTTATTATATGGAGTAACCACTAGATGGAGAAGACTGTACATTAATTGGAATGGGGAGCAAGTCAATAAAAAATGCTATACATTGTCTCCAGTGTTCACATGAGTCAATCATGAATCTTATCCTTCAGCAAACCACCTCTAAGGCAGACACACACAAAAAATAAAATCAAAATCCTTCAAGCACTCAACATCTCCTATGCTCCTCCAAGCACTCAGCATCTCCTCTGCTCCTCCAAGCACTCATCATCTCCTCTGCTCCTCCAGAGACACAACAGCATCTCCACTACTCCTCCAAGCACAACAGCATCTCCTCTGCTCCTCCAAGCACAACAGCATCTCCTCTGCTCCTCCAAGCACAACAGCATCTCCCCTGGAGGAGCAGAGGAGATGATGAGTGCTTGGAGGAGCAGAGGAGATGCTGAGTGCTTGGAGGAGCAGAGGAGATGCTGAGTGCTTGGAGGAGCAGAGGAGATGCTGAGTGCTTTGAGGAGCAGAGGAGATGCTGAGTGCTTGGAGAAGCAGAGGAGATGCTGAGTGCTTGGAGAAGCAGAGGAGATGCTGAGTGCTTGGAGAAGCAGACGATATGCTGAGTGCTTGGAGAAGCAGAGGAGATGCTGAGTGCTTGGAGAAGCAGACGATATGCTGAGTGCTTGGAGGAGCAGAGGAGATGCTGAGTGCTTGGAGGAGCAGAGGAGATGCTGAGTGCTTGGAGGAGCAGAGGAGATGCTGAGTGCTTGGAGGAGCAGAGGAGATGCTGAGTGCTTGGAGGAGCAGAGGAGATGCTGAGTGCTTGGAGGAGCAGAGGAGATGCTGAGTGCTTGGAGGAGCAGAGGAGATGCTGAGTGCTTTGAGGAGCAGAGGAGATGCTGAGTGCTTGAAGGAGTAGTGGAGATGCTGAGTGCTTGAAGGAGTAGTGGAGATGCTGTTATGTCCCTGTAGGAGCAGACGAGATGCTGAGTTCCTGATGGTGAGAAGCAGCCGAGATGATTATGCACTGTCACTTGTAAAGAAATTTGGCTCTCCTTTCTTTCTGGGTTGCAAACCTATCAATAACTTTGTTGTTGAAGTTGGGCATGTCTTTCACAATCTTTTTCTCCATAGAAAGCATGGCAAGGGCATTCAGTCTTTCTTGAGACATTGTGCTCCTTAGGAACGTTTTGATTCTTTTTAGAGTGGAGAAGCATCTTTCAGATTCTGCTGATGTCATTGGAGTAGTGATAAGGATTTTCAGAAGATTAACAGTTTCTGAAAATGTGCACTGAAGGTTGTTCTCCATAAAAAACTGATACAGAGGCACTGCACCACTACACTTTTCAAACTCCGGGTTTTCATAGACCAAGGATAGTTCTGTCTTCAGTCTAGCCTTGTTCAGCATCGGATAGGCCTCCACAGTGGCATTCAATGCAGCACTTGGAAAGGTTTTAGCATGCTGTGAGAACAGCTCTCCCTGCAGCAGTGTTGAACTCACAAGGTGCCCAGTGAACGCAAAGCGCTCCTTTGTCTGAGCCCAGATGGTATCACACACCTGTAAAACATAGAAAATAAATAACATATTAATTGCTTTACATATAACTTTATTATATTATGTCACAATACTTTGAATATAGTTGTAAATGTGGATATGCAAAAATCAAGTATGAAATACTGTTGTCTAAACCAAAACTAATCAAGGATCTACAATAGAACTAAATCATTGGTGAATTGAGATTAAGAGGAAATCCAAAATAAAATTATTGTAATGTACAGTACATGTGCTATGTTTTTATCTGTAGTGGCACTTTCTCAGCAAATGAAGTCCCTAACGGATAAAGTGAATTTGATTTGGCAAAACATTAGTAACTGCTCCCAAACATAACACAAAATTAAAACTATAGAACAACAGAGGACCTTTGAGTGGCACCAGTAACCGTGCAGCAGTTTGTGAAGCACTACTGTAGACTAGAGCACAAGAGGAGGCCTATGAAAGTGAAATAAGCTGTACCTCAATAGCAATCCGATGTTGTTCTGCGGGCCCCAGTGTCCTCTGTCGCTTGGCAGCTGGAATCTCCTCTTGCACAGTGAATATGGAAGACCTTGTTTAAACATAAAACAATTGCTTAATACTACATTATTCTGCATTCATGTTATTTCTATGATTTTTCACATTTTTCACATTTACCTGATGTTTCTAATGCTGTCGGCAAAATTACAGATGGCAGCTTTGATGAAGATGGGGTCAATGTTTCGTTTCTGAAGCTGCTGAAAGAGCATGTCGACGTGTGGCATGATTTTGTGAAATAGTTGGAGAAAAAAGCAAAATGTACCATCCTCCAGCATCCTCACAAACCCTCCTGCTTCTCTCACAGTCACAGCATCAAAGTTCCCAGAGTCCTGAATGGTCTTAAAACACTTCAGAAGATCATCCCTGTGCTCATATACAGTGTTCACTGAGCGACTGTGAAAGTTCCACCTTGTTGCACACGCTCTCGGAAGTCTGCTGCCAACAACATCATCAAGCACGCTGGTCCGTTTGGGCGACCTTGAAAAAAATGCACAAAATCCACCTAGCTCCGAAAAAAATACGGAGACCTTGGGTATCTTTGAGGTGGCTTGCTGCATTACCAGATTGAGCTGATGTGCGTAACAATGTACGTAGTGTGCGTTTTCATACACATCCATCACTTTACGCTGAACTCCTCCAGTGGCACCCCGCATAACGCTCGCTCCGTCATAAGCTTGAGCTATTAATTTTGTCTTGTCTTTGGGTGGGATCAATGCACTCATCCTTTCCAAAAGTGCTTGAGCGATGTTTTCAGCATTCGCGTTTTCAATCGGTATGAACTCAAAAAAGCGCTCTTGAATGACATTGTAGCGATCGATGTAGCGAAGTACAAGGGCAAGTTGGCACTGGACAGACACGTCAGATGTTTCATCGGCTTGAATGGCAATATAATCCGCCGCAGTCACCTCCTCGTGAATGTACTCCTTAACAACAGTCAGCATACAGTCCAGCAGCTCATTCTGAATCGTTTTGGACGTACCTCTGAACACAGTAGCTCCCTCCAGGTGCTCCTTCAGAGCAGCGTCCAATGACGAGGCGAAGTTAACAAGGCCCCTAAAAATGCCTGGGTTCTCAGAGGCTTCAGTCTCGTCGTGGCCACGCAAAGCCAATTCAAAGGCACCACAAAATTTTACACAGTCAATCAGTTTAGAAAGAATATATCGATTCTTGTCCACTTCCTCATTGTGCCTTCTTATACAAAGACGATGGCCATCATCCAACTGAGTAGCAATGTTAGCCTTCCCCAGCAACGCAAATTTCAGGCAGCTGTCAATATGAATCTTTGTGTGTTCGTGTTTTTTTATTTTTTCCGAAAAAATTTTTCATATCCTGAACACCGTTTTCACACCAGGCTCGATCGGTCGCTGCAGTTTTAAAAAGCAAACAAGGGAAGCAAAACAGCGAGTTAGCTACTCCGCAGCCGGTTAGCCACGGCTTCCTAGTGTACCATGTCCGCGAAAAGCCTCTAGTATAAGACGCTTCCTTGTCTTTCACCTGCTGTCTGATGTTAATTTGTGGCTGGTCCGGTCCCATTTCTTTTATTTTTATTTTTTCAGCCAGTGGTCGTCTTTCAAACGGAGTTTGAAGAAGAGATTGCACGGTCTCTTTCTCTCGTGCCGCCGGCGCCGCCATTGTCAACTTGTCAAGAAAGACTGACTGGCTGGCTCCGCCCGCCGAATCTCACTGCCACGTGACCACACCAAGTAGAGTAAAACTCCATGTTATTCTCCGATGGGCGCAGAGGCAAAGCGCCCATCGGAGAATTATTACTGCGCGTCACTGATTGGTTGAATTGATCATATTTAGTGACGTTTTAATAGCGTATCAGAGCTCCATTGGTTAGATAGCGAGGGCGCCCTTTCTCGGTGCCCCGAGCATAAAACTACACATTTATGATGTTATGCGGCACACGATGAAGCTGACAGACAAAAATACCCCCCCCCCCCGCGTCCTTGGTGTATAAAACACGTACACCTGTACAGAAGAAAGTCATGTTTTTTGTCAAACTTAAACTTTTTTTTAATTTTATTTTTTGTTAAACTTGGTAGGAGGGGCGGCGCCCCAGCGCCCATAATAGACCAGCCGTCCCTGCGAAAAGAGGGAGTGGCTGAGAATGATGACTTTGATGTCGTGCGCTAGTTTGAGTGGTTTGAGTCGTCATACGTCACGACCAAACGTCAGCGATTGTTTATGGCAGATCCAGAGTGACTCTATTGAAGTTTAAAACTATTGAATCTGCCCAGAGTACCCGCCTACAATGAAGTTAACGCTTGTCAATGGAGCGAGGCCAGACTCTCTGTACAAATGAAATGTACGAGAGTCTGGTGGGACCAGGCTACTCAGATCCATGATATCATGAGCAAAAACAGCCATATTTATGGTAAGGATAGGATATTAATATGGCATGCATGTAATTGCTCCCCAAGGGTGAATAAATGTGTTTTGACATTTGTACTGATTGTTTTAAGAGATGTGAAGTGAATTAAGAGTGGGACTAGGATGTTAGATTTGAATAGGAATCTATCACATAGAGCATATGTTAGAGCATGTGTTCTGACAACAACCACAGCCCAGACAGAAATATTTTGAAGCAACAATCCTAAAAAAAGTGCTTCGTGACACATAATACTCAAAATTAATTCAACATTAAAGGGTTAGTTCACCCAAAAATGAAAATTCTGTCAGTAATTACTCACCCTCATGTTGTTCCAACCCCGTAAGACTTTCATTCATCTTCGGAACACAAATTAAGATATGTTTGATGAAATCTGAGAGCTGTCTCACTCCTTCATAGGCTTCTAGGCAATTTCATTCTGCCGGTCCAGAAAAGTTAGTCAAAACATTGTTAAAATAGTCCAAGTGACTACAGTGGCTCAACCTTAAGTTTATCAAGCGACGAGAATAATTTTTGTCCGCAAAAAACAACATAAATAACGACTTTATTCAACTATTTATTTTCTTCTGTGTGGGCCTCTGAAGTGAGTTCACAAGAGCGCCACGACGCATGCGCGAGAACTGAGAAGATAATTACCATGTTGACACAAAAAAAGCAACAAATGGCACGAACATGGTTCCAGAGACCAGATAGTAGGCACAGGTGCATCAGAATTATATATATATATATATATATAAAACAAAGGAGAAGTCGCAATGAAGGATGAAGGCACAATTGCTAATCAGCGTCACCTGCGTACCACACCGCCCTCGAGTCTCACTGATGGAGATCTGGATGAAAAAAGGGAGGAGCGACAACAGTGCAGAGGACCAGGTCTGGATTTTATGTTATGTTTATTTATGTGTGTGTGACATTCGTCCGTGAGCGGCTGCCACTTTTACTTTTGTTTTGTGTTTGTTTATTTATTAAAGTGTGTTTGCACGTTCGCCGGTCCCTGCCTCTTTCTTCCAGGAACACTAACCTTGTTACATTGGTGCCGAAACCAGGGAGGAAGGAGGAACACGCTGTCATAGAGCCCTCACCGCTGTGGGGAATCCGCGGTGCCATTGAGCATGGCTGAGCAGAGTATGCTGCCATGGACGCTCGAGGCGGTGGCCTGGAGTGAGTTGCCGGAGGGACGAACTAACTCGCTGCTGGCCACCTGGGTTTTGGAGGGGCGGCTGCCGTCCGTGAGGGAGCGGAGGAGTCGCTGCCATTTGCCTGTGGCCGGTGCCAGGTGGCAGATGGAGTTCTTCCGGCTGGGTGAGGACCGAGTGGCAGTGCGTTTTAGGAAGCGGCGAACGTGCTGTCGTGGAAATTCTTAATACGTATACAACCTACTTAATCTGACTTCTTTACCATTAACAAATTAAACAACTTGCAGTTGTTAAAATAATAACTACAGTATATTGAGGTAATTTCCTGAATTAACTGAATACTTACAATACAATACTTCCCCGAAGTAAGGTGACGGCGTCCGGTCAAGAAGCTACTATCACTACCTCAATCACACATAAATGTTCTATTGTTGTCTTTTGAGCGTAGAATCTTTAGTACTTCTCAGGGCCGTCCATAAGGGGGGATAAAGGGGAACGTTTTCTGGGGCCCAGCCGCTAGGGGGGGCCCATGCAGTCCAGCAATAATTATGTTCATCCTAAATATAAGCAAAGGTTACCATATTTTATTTTTAACCAAAATAGCACCATTTATTGTTGAAAGTGAGAAAAAATGCATTTTATTTAATGTTGCTTAAGTAAAATGTAGCCTGTGTCATAATGAAACACCCCTCTCCTGAAAATGGTCTGATAGGCTATTTTTGTTGTACGTAAGTCAAAACGCCAGTGCTTCGCGCCAGTTCGCGGTCAGCAGCGCAAGTGAGCAATAATAACCAAGTGAGTGACACACGATGGAGTGCGCGAATTGACACGGTAAGACCATAGACAATAAAAGAAAAAGTAAGACCTATTGCTCACCATCTCCCCAGTGTGATTGAAGCAATCGATTGCCTAAAATCGTCCTGTAAATTATCTAATGAGGCCTTATCAGATGCGCGAGGACTGAGAGAATATTTCATGTCATTTACAGCAGTTGTCATGTGCACTGTCCGGCTAAAACTACTACAACATATCGAATATAGGATGGAATTTGCTTCTGCAGAGTGGCAGCCTTATGGTGTGTTCACACCGAACGCGAATAGAGCGTCAAATACGCGTTTATCGCGTCTAGTTAGATGCTTGAACATTCGCTCGAGTTCAAATTTTTCAACTTGCGCGGAAGACGTTCGCGGCAAACACGTCGCCCAATTCGCGTCATTCGCAACGCCGGCGCGAATGATGCGTCTATTCGAGTCTTTGCATTGACTTTGTATGTAGCCTAATCTACTCGCGCAAATAATTAAATATGCGTTCGGTGTAAACACACCATTAGATATTGGACAGATAGGTCGCGGGAATGGGGTTGTTTCATGACAATTTTCTTCTTTTTTTTTTTATTGGTTGTTGCATTAAATCATACCCAGATACAATAGTGCTATTTTCTGATTGGCTTTTGTGTAGCTCGACGAACAACACAGGGGAGACGCGCTTGATTCCTGCCGGGTCCAAAGTGACAGCGGCGCGGCCAGAGACATTTTGGGCGCTGCGGCATATTAAATATATTATAAATCATTTTTCCGCGTGAGCAATACAATGTGTGGCGGGAGTGCGTGACAAAAGACCGAAATGAGTGACTGTCATGCTCAATGCGTGACACTTGAGAGCCCTGTGTGTGTGTGTGTGTGTGTGTGTGTGTGTGTGTGTGTGTGTGTGTGTGTGTGTAAATAGACCCCATCACTGAGTAAGTCTAAACGTATGTGTTAATGTAGGAGAGAGAGAGAGCACACGCATGATATGAGTAGCCTATTGCAGATTTGGGGAGGGCCCATTCACTGGACCTTTTCAGGGGCCCAGTCATTTCTGTGGGCGGGCCTGGTACTTCTATTACTACCTCAATCACACATAGATGTTCTGTTGTTGTCTTTTGAGCATAGAATCTATTTCTCAGCTGCACAGCATATACCTGACACGACTCCCAAGTTGCTCTTTATAAAAATGAAGTTTTATTCACGGCCGGGAGATCACTGGCCACAACAACCAAGTGAGTCTCCTGAATAGAAAGATACATGTACATTTTTATCATACAGTTGAGTAGAAATCAATGTCACTCAAGACTTCTTCACTGTGATTTGTTCTGGTGATTGGTTTGTAATGATCTAGGCTAATCATATGACTGTTAGTTCTACTGTGTTAAAGTCCCCGTGAACCGGAGGTTGCAAACAACTTTTCTCCAGTGTTGTGACGGATTTCCGAGAGAAACGGAATACTAAATGAGGCAAAATAGTGGGCGTGGCTTTTTTTCCAACTAGCACCTGATTGGATCTAGAAAAGTAGGTGTTTTCATTCAGCCTGTCTACTGTCAGTTGGAGGGGCGTGATTACGGATGTTAAGCAGACACCCAAACCGTCAAACCTACGTCATCAGGGAAGGTCCTCCAATGCAGAGGGGAGGGGAAATTTCAGATTTTGATTAAAGATTACGAAGCCAAAAAATTGTGTGGATTGACTTGCATGGATGAATTGTTTACCACAAAACGATCAATTTAGGCAAACAAAGTAAGTATGGCCAATTTTGAATTCATGGGGACTTTAAGCACTTTTTGGTTAAGTATATATAGCCTTTGACCTAAGCATCCTTAGTCTGCATTTCTCTGTACATTTAATGTTGAAAATACCCATTACATAAAATATTTCTACCACAGTGCACAAAATAAAAATAATAAACACAAAATAATAAACACAAAATAAAAAAAAACTTGGAAATACATATTTGATTGGGACTAGTGATGCGCGGATCACGGTTATACCCACGGGTGCTGAGGATAATCCGCGGGTCGGGTAATAAAAAATAACATTTCAATTAATTGTGAGGGTCGCGGGCAGATGAGAGATAAAGAGTGTTTTTCCATCACAATGTAGGCTAAATAATAACGTGTTTATAGCGCAAATTTTTGTCAGGCAATAATTTGCAGACGCAATTGCGGAGTACACTTGTTAATCAGAAATGGAGGCAAACCAGATCCAAGAGAAATTTCAAAAAGTAGAATTTAAAACAAAGGAAAATATAGAAAAGTAAAGTACAGTGTGGGAGCATTTTAGTGAAGCAGTTAACCATGACCAATCAAGTGCTGGGTATGTGATATAACAGCTGTGAAATGCTTTTTAAAAAACGAATAAAGCCTATATCTGTTACAGATCAGCCAGGCTCTCACACCAGCCAATCACAGCACACTCCCTCATCTGAGTTCTAATCACTGTTACGTCCCAGATGTAAAGTTGTCTAGGTTAAGGGAGTAAACAGTGAGAAGAAGATAAATGTTCCTGAGCCCCTTCCCAGCCCTGTACGACAGACACATAAAATTTGCAGCTCAAAAATGTATTAACAGAATATATATGTATAATTGACTAAATGAAACAAAAAGAAAAAAAACATGCAAACCTCAGGAGGTGGTAAAGCCAAAATAACAAACACAAGTACCCTCTGACTAGTTGGGGAGTAAAACTTCTTAATCTGCCAAAAGGAAACAAATAAACAGAAAGTTACACTAACTCCCTAACTAGCCAAAAACAGGAGAAAAGGTATTACAAAAATAAAAATAGGCACCCACCTCCCTACAGCTTCCAGACCGTTTGGTATTCAAGAATAAAGCCACAACAATAAACACAAAGAATAAGTGGTAGTAGGCTACAATAAGCCTTAGCTTGGTGAACAATAAGAAGTCTTAATGTTATACAACACAACAGCAAGTAAACCAACAAGTGAGGGACAGTCGCAACACTCTGGAAGACAGGCATCAGTTTGAATCTTCTTCTTCTTCTTGTTGCTATTTTACAGCGGTTGGCATCCAACTTATTGGTGCCTTTCCGTCACCTTCTGCTCCGGAGTGTGGAACAGAAAATAGGTTTACAGACTAAATCCCCCTCTCCCACTCACACACACACCTCCTCCCATTCATTCTGCATGTTAATAATTATAATAGTAATAACAACAATTACAACACCAATATTTATACTTTAACCCTCATCCATACTACCTTTATTTATATTCTATTAAAAACCCCTATTTCTCTTAAGAAAGTCATAAGAATTCTAGTCTGAACCCTATCACTACTCAATAACCCTTTTAATGTGATATTCTGAACTCCCATCTCCCTCAGCTTATTCCTCATCATCTCTCTCTGTGCTCCATACCTACTACATCTCAAAATAATATGCTCTACAGACTCCTCTTCCTGGCATCCTTCACACAATCCAGTATTATGTTTCCCTATTAACTTAAGCGTTTTATTTAATAAACAATGTCCCATTCTTAACCTAGAGATCACAATTTCTTCTCTCCTATTTCCACTTCCAACCCTTGTTTCTTTAACTTCCCTTTGAATTTGATATAAGTGTCTCCCTGTCCTCTCTCTATCCCACATTTCTTGCCACTTTTGATTTATTTTCTCCCATATCACACTTTTAACTTCTGCTTTACTAATACTAACTTGCATTTCTATATTTCCTTTTGTTAATGCCCTTTTTGCTAATTGATCAGCCATTTCATTCCCCCTTATCCCTACATGTCCTGGTGACCATATAAACTTTACTTGTCCACCTTGGTTAACTATTCTTGTTACTGACTGAAGTACTTCCCACAGAATATCTTGACGACTTTTGGATTCTTCAGTTTGAATGTCCTCCGAAGCCTCTTTTGAATGTGTAGCGTCTCCAGTATAACAAGCAGCAGGTGCGATCAATCATCTCTCTCTCTCTTCCCCACCTGGTAGAGCTGCAGAGTTACAGAGAGAGAAAACAAACACAAAACCCCAGCACAGCCATAACACAACCACGGAACGTAACATCACACACCTGCACCTCATCATCACCATCATCACCACCACTATAGAGGCAGCGTTTACACTTGGCATTAACATGCGATCACCGTGATCCGATCATTAGCCAATCAGGACATGGTGCGTTTATACTTGCCAAG